ACCGCCAACACCCTTTTTAAGCAAACAGCTTCAGACCACTGCCATGCTTTCCAACCTCGCAAACCTCGCAGACCGTGCACACCGTGCCCTTGTACTTGGTGTGGTACTTGGCTCCGTCAAACGCGCACTCCTCATAAGGAGTACCGCTGTAGATGGGCGTGAAGCTGGCGGCGCAGATCTCGAACTCGGCGAACTGATCGAACTCGATCTCCACGGCGTCGTGAGGGTTGCGCTCGCATTGCGCCTTGGTTCTCTTGGCCTATTATTTTCGAATACTGTTAGTGTCTCAATTTATGGAGGGAAAAAATAAAGGGAGTTAGGTTATGACATACGCTCTCAGTGATCTTGGTGGCTCCTCCGTTGGCCAATATCCTGTTGGCGAAGCTAAGGGCAGAGCTGTAGTTCTTGCTCCGCACAGCCAGGTTCATTGCGTTAAGCAAAGCAAGCTGGCGATGGGGAACCTCGATCTTGGGAATGGTGAAGTAGGCCGCCAGTTCCAAGTTCCGCTTCTGGAGCGAGGGATCCTGGCTAAGCTGGTCCGGAGAACCAAGTTGCCTGCGGGCCAGCTCGATAGACATGGCAACCGAGTACTCGCAGGCCGAGGCAATCAGTTTCTTGGCCTCGGCAACCTCGCCATCACTGCCTACTGCGTTGACAAGGACAGAGTGAAGAATACCCTTGAAGATCTTGACACCATCCTCGAGCTTGTTCGCCCTCATCGCATCGTAACCGCGCTGCAGGTCATTGGAAGCAAGGTACTCGAGGTCCCTGGGGATGATAGGGAGAACCTTCCTTAGATCCGTCTCCTCGGGGTTCCTGCGGACGTAGTTGACGAGAGGGTCCAGACCAGCGGCGGCAGGGAGGTAAGTCTTGGATGCCTGGTAGACCTCCAAGAAGCGAGGCTTGAGAGGAGCGAAGTTGACAGCGCCAACCTGGCGGTTGAGCAGCTGCATTGCCGACTCGAAGGAACCACCAGCGACGTGATCAACTGCAAGCGGTGAATTTCGGGACCACATATCCGCTTCACTGCTTCCCGCACCGCCTGCATCCGCGCTCTCCACGTTGACGAAGCCCTCCTCGACTTCCGGAACAATATCATCGCCCATGTCCCATCCCGCAGCATCCTCGTCCTCATCACCTTCAACAAGAGCACCGGCCTTCTTGGTCGCAGGCTCATCGGCACCACCCTCTTCAAGACCGAAACCGTTGGAAGCGGCAGAGGGCTGGTCTTCCAGAGACAAGCCCTCAACCTCGCCAAGCAGGGCCTTTTCGAAGAAGGACTGCGAGGCCGCCTTTGTCGGCCAGTTAGCCTTGTATGTGGGGACCACGGGCTTGGGCGGTGTTAGGGGCTCGCCCAGGGTGGGCATCGAGAGCTGGTCTTCTGTGAGGCCAGTAGCCTCGAGAATTTCCTGGCACTCTTCCTCGAGCCCGTGAGACTTGGCAGTCATGTAGGCCAGGGGGTACAGATCGATTTCCTTGAACATCTGAATTCGGTCCTGGACCTCTCCCAGATAAAGGGCGTTCTGGAATCTTGAAGTGAAGTCACCACGGTGCTCAGCAATCTTGGCCATCCTCGAGAGCTTGTCATGGTCGCCGGTTGTGAGGTAGAGGAACGAAAGCTTGTCAAAGTGCTTGAGCTTCTGGTAGCACATCTCCACGATCTGATGGTTGCCATGAGCGAGGGCCTCCTGGCTAAGTCTCGTCCAGAGCTTGGGCTTGTCCAGTTCCTTGGCCATCTCAACAGCGACCTCGAGATTACCGCACTCAATGGCAAGCTCGAACCTGGTAGTAGGATCCTGGACGAACTGGAGCGCGATCTCGGGATAGCCCTTCTTCTGGAGGTAGGCAATGATTGACTGGCCAACCAAGCTCGAGTTCTGGATGATGTGTAGCATTTCCTCGTAGTTACGCTTGACAAGCGCAAGCTTGAAGCGGTACTCGGTGGGGTCAATCTGCAAAATCTTGGGCTTCGCAGCACGATCAAGGCAGTAAACGTTTCTGCCCTTGACACGGGTGAGGTAAACAGTCTGGTCGAGTGTGCAAACGATGCCGTTATCACCGTTGAGAAGCGTGTACTTGACATGGTTGAGAGTCGAGTACAGCAGAACACCAGCGTCGTCCCACGCAGCACTCTTGAGACGAATGGTCTCATGCAGGGTGCTGACCTGCTCCAGAGTCTTGGTCACAATTGTCACATTATGCTTGCTAAGCAGAGCTGCGTAGAGACCATCGTTGGACCAGACGACGTATTTAACGCCAGTTACAGCCAGCTCGGCAGTGCTCTTCCTCTGCTGGATGTCGTAAAGGTGAACAGCGGTCGGGGTAATGATAAGGAGGTTGCCGGTGCCGCCGAAGTAGATATCGGTGGTGCCAACAGGGGGCTTGAACGATCTCGTGGCGTTGTTGGTCAAGTCCTTGATATCGACGGTCTGGGTGGCAGTGTTGAGAACAGCGAAGCGGTTGCGAGCCACAAATACAGCCGAGTTGCCCTGGCCCCGCTTGGACTCTGTGGGTTCGATAGCTCCAGAGCCATCACGAGGAAGGGTGATCAGCTCGTACGACCCACCATCCGCCGGGGAGGTGACCAAGATGGACCTCTCAGCGGGGTTGTAGGAGAGTGTCCTTGGGGGCACCCAAGGGCTTCCGAGCTTCTTGAGCGACAAAAGCGTGGGCGACTCGACATTCTTCTGGAAGTCGTACATCTTGACGTGCTTCTCCTTGGTGATGTAGAAGATGTTGTTCTGATAAACGGCAGAAGCAGGCCTCTCGCGCTCGAGCTTGAACACCATAACACCATTGTCGTGACCAGCAGCGAACAAGTTGATTTCCGGATGAGCGGCGATAACCCAGATCCTATCGTTCTCCCTCTTAAAGGTGTTGACTGCGGTACGCTTGTTAAGATCCCATACTCGAATAGTCTTGTCTTCGCCAGCCGAAAGAATAAGGTCCTGGTGGGGGTGGAAAAGACAGCCGCTGGCGTTCTGGAAATGGCCGCGGCAGGTATCGACTTCCCACTATGGTTGGTTGATTCAGTCAGCAGGTTGATATCAGATGCACAATGTCCTGAAAACACGTACAGCCTTGGTCTCGCTCATGCGCCACAACTTGATAAGACGGTCGTCACCGGCGGACACAATCAAGGGCATGGTGGGGTGGAAGGCAACCCAGTTCACACCGCGGTCGTGGCCCTCGAGAACGAACTTGACAACGGCGTCGGTGTTGCCGAACATATCGGTCTGGTTGGCATTGGCGCGAGCAACTTGGTCCTCGAAGGACATGGACGTGGGCGCGGAGTGCTTCTTGCGTAGGCCGGAGACTGTGATAACGCAATATGGTCAGCCATCCATGTATTCCGCAGATATCCATCCCATCTTCCCGTCCAAGGCACCACGTACTATCCCAAACGCGAACAGTCTGATCGAGGGAGGCGGAAACGATGAGGTCCTCCTTGGGGTGGAACTGGGCGCACATGACGTAGTGGTTGTGGCCCGTCATGGTGCAGAGCAGCGAGCGGTTCTGCCAGTTCCATATCCGAATCGTCTGGTCGTCACTAGCACTAACAATCCAAGGGAGCTCGTGGTGGAAGAAGACGGTGCGAATGTAGTCCAGGTGGCCGTTAAGGGTAAAGAGGCAGCGCCGAGTCTGGAGAGACCAGACCTTGATCTTGTAGTCGTCACCGCCAGATACGAAGAGAGGCTGTGGGGGATATGTGTAAGCTATGGTCGATATCTCGAGTCGGCGCATAGAGGCAACAGGGAGCTCACCTGTGTCTTGTGGAAGTCGACACCTCTGACGGGGCCATCGTGTTCTTCGAATCGGTCAATCAGGGTACCCATGCGGTAATCCCATAGCTGAATGGTGGAGGAGTGGAGGGAGACGAGAATCCATGGTCTGGAGGCAGGGCCATGTTAGTTTCGCGTGGGTTTCTTGATAATTGTAGACATCTAGACCCAAGTGGCGGGGGAGCTTCTGCTATTCGGGAGACGGAGAGGCTGACCGTTTAGGGTGGAAGGCGATGCCCTTTGCTCGCGACGACTTGGACTCGAACTGCGCACAGGGGTAAGATATTAGACAAGCTCGAGCTGGAGGCGCATAGAGAGTGGACGACGACGTACTTTGGTGAGCATTCCCGAGGAGGCCTGCATCTTGCCAGTGGCTTTAAGGGGAGCACAGCCTAAGCTCCCGGCATCAACGTGGGAAAGGTGGATTAAGTATTTAAATGGAAGACGGGAGGAATTAGAACGCGATCAGCCGAGCGCCGTGAAATCGCAAAATAGTACTAGATGGGAATGCCGTTCGGGGGGGAGGAGGGGTGGCGGCGTGGTTGTTTGGGCGTGGGAGGGATTGGGAATGGAGCCAAGTGGAAAGTGTCGAGGTCGAGTGTACAAGTGCTCCGTGTCGTCGGAAGGAGGTCCACGGATGCCACCATCAATGGAGCTGGAGACGGCGGCTTCAATTCCACTTGATAGGGAAGCGTGGCATCTCACACCTCACCTCATTCAGTGCGGGCGGGCGCTGCAGCTGCCACTCGCACAGCACCTGCCCACTGCAGTTGGGGCCTTGCTGACACGACTGGCGTGGCCTCAGCATCGATTCGTGCACCGCCACGTTATAAACACACAGGACCCGCAATTCAGGGGCTGCGGCATGCGTAAGCCTCATTTAAGGGGCTCAAGTCAAGGGTCTCACCAGCCACACTCAACGTGTGCACCTTGGCGGCCACCTGTACAGCTTCCCCCCAGACGCTAGACCGAACTGGGTGAGCTCTCAACAGCGAGGTGTTCACACAACCTCCGCAGCTTCACTGTGAAGCTATCACCAATTTCACCATCGATATACCTGGTAACTACACAGATTACCGAGGTCGTTGAAGACTTGTGTTTGAACTATTTGAGTAAATCGGTGACATCACAACCTGTTTCTTACTTGTCCCCTTTCGTTCCGCTCTCTCTCCAACACCAACACCAAATTCGAGCTGTGCCGTTTGACGTTGGTAACATCCAACGTGGCACCTTTCCTTATCCCCCCCATGGTTGAGGTTTGAACAGGCAACCCTCTGATCGACGAATATCTTACAATTCACTTCGTCACCTCAACACCATAAAACTGCTGCTTGGTCCGGACAACCATGATCCGCCTCTCCCAGCTGCCGTGGGGCCTTGCGGCAGCCATTGTCACAGCGACATGGCTTCCCTCACACCACGTTGCAGCTTCTCCCTCTGTAGACGTCGCACTCAAGGCCGCGTTTCCTTCGCCTCCGTATCTGGTAGAGCTTCTGTAAGTCCCCTGGCCCTCCTCCTTCACCCGTACTGGACAAAGTCTCACATCCGAATCCAGCGAAACCGCAGCTTCCGAGAATGCGACTGCCTATTTCCCACTGCTGGACCGCATTGCCAAGGGGGATTTTGCCCAGGCCAAGTCTGACAAGGAGCTCTATGAAAAGTTCCTCCAGGTTCTCCAGGAAGACGGGCATGTGAACCCTGAGGCGCTGTCGACCTTCAAGTTGGCTCTTTCGCTACGATCCGCTGCGCCCCGTGTCGAGGCTCATTATCAGTATTATACCACCGCTGTTGAGCCATCTGTAGTGGCCGACCAGGACGGATGTGATCTGTGGTTTCTCTACAACGGGAAGCAATACTGCAAGGCCAGCCTGGAAGCTTCATATGGCGATGTCAACAGCAACTCCCAAGAGCGTACCTTACCTTTTGACAGACGATTTGGCAGTGGCCCTCAGGAAATCGTGCTCTATGCCGATATCACCTCCCCTGCCTTTGGGAAATATCATGAGGCCGCCATGGAACTTGCTCAAAAAGGAGAGGCTTCGTATCGGCTGCGTTACAAGAGAAGCCTTGGACAATCAGATGATGCGCTCTCGGTCAACGGTTATGGTGTTGAGCTTACGCTGAAGAGGACAGACTACATCGTCATCGATGACAGGGATACTGGTGGTGACAAGGCCCAAAAGACCATCAGATCTGATTCTGAGCTTGTCCTGGACCACGATGAAGAGGTCGCAGACATCAAGCCCCTTGAAAAGTCCGAGCTTTCACCCCTTGCCGTCAAGGCAGCATCCTTTATTATGCAGAGTGATTCGCCGTTCGATACCCTGCTTAAACTTACACAGGACTTCCCCAAGTACTCAACCAAGCTTGGGAAGCACAACGTGTCCAAGGAGTTTTTGGCCGAACATGAGTACAACAGGCAACTGCTGGTGTCAACAGGTGCCAACGTTCTATGGATGAACGGTGTCCAGTTGGTAGACAGACAGGTCCAGCCCTTTGGGCTTGTAGACATGCTTCGCCGGGAACGCAAACTCATCAACGGTGCCCTGGACCTGGGGCTGACTGGCCAGCAAGCTCTTTCCCTTCTGGGTCATGACGCGGTTGCTGCCGCAAAGGCCACCGAGGAAGAGCCTCGCAGATTCGACTGGCGGGACGAGTCCGAGGGAGGTCAGGTCATTATCTGGCTGAACAACATTGAAAAGGACAAACGTTACGCTGAGTATGCTCCTTCGGTCTGGGCTTTGATTCAGCACTTTGGACAAGGATTACCTCAAGTTCGCAAAGACCTTTTCAACCTTGTTGTTCCTGTAGACTTCACCAAGGCGGATGATGTTACGCTAGTCACCAGACAGCTCCTTGCTTTCATGAAGCGAGGCATTCCCGTCCGGTTTGGCCTTGTCCCCCTGACTCCCACAGGCGAGGCCATTGAACAGGCCAAGGTCCTGTACCATCTTCTCAAGACTTATGGTTTGGCTGCCATGTCTACTTACCTGGAAAAGTCTCTTGAAGCTTCTAGTACTGATAAGCCGAACGCGGACATCTTCAACCTGGCCATCAAGGACCGTGAGATTCGCCCGGACCATGAGGCGCTACCGCTCAAGGACATCTTTGCCTCCGAGGAATTGGAAAAGCAGATCCACCGCGCGAAGCACTGGTGTGAACGCCTCAGGGCTGATACCGAAATCCCTCCTGCTTTCATCAACGGCTTCGCCATCCCCCGCGAAGAAGATTGGCTTCGGAATATGAACCACAAGCTTATGGTGGACCTCCAAATGTTGCAACAGGCGGTCTATTATAGCAAGGTTAATGATCACACCGATGTCCCTGGCTTCTTCCTGGAGAACGCCATTGCTCGGCGCAATACCTTCATATACCCCGAGAATCCCAACGCCATCAAGGTACTGGACGTCAATAAGGTGTATAGCGAACACCAACGTCTGTTCAGCAAGGTGCCTGTGGTTGAAGCAGATGAAAGTGCCCCCAAGGAAGATTGGGCAGTGCTTACAGTTGTCACGAACCTTGATAGCGTTGAGGGCCAGAAGCTCCTTTACTTTGCCCTGCGTTTCCGCCAGGAACATCGGGGAGTTCGCCTCGATATTATCCATAACCCCGCTGACCTGACCAACTCGCCTTCTATTATGAACCAGCGCGTCAAGGCCAGTGAGGGAAGTCTTTTGAAGGTTGCCAGCCTCGTCGAGCTTGAAACCATTCTCGAGGAGGGCACGCCTGAGGCGGATCAAGAGTTTGACGCTGACCTTACTAACTTCCTCTCCAGCTTCAACTTGAAGTCTGGAGATAACGTACTCATCCTCAATGGCCGTATAGTCGGTCCTATCGCATCGGCAAACGACTTCGTCAAGGAGGACTTTGCTGAGTTCCTTCGAACGGAACGTACAAACCGCATCCTTCCGGTTTACAAGGCAATTGAGGATCTTGGACTGAGTGATAAGGTCTCTGGACCCTTGGCTGCTGCCAAGCTGACCTCGGTCACTGCTCTCTCGGGCATCTCAGATACTCCCCACGGCATCTTTGATTCTGCCACACCCATCAGGACAACGGCTTACAACAAGTGGAACACCACGTACACCTCCTTCGAGGTCGGTAATCCCGAGACCGCCACTATCTTCTTTGTCGCGGCCATCAACCCTGCTAGCGAGATGGGCCAGAAGTGGGCTCCCATCCTCAAGGTTCTTTCGGAACTCGAGGGTGTTCATCTGCAAGTATTCCTAAACCCGCAGACCGAACTGTCAGAGCTCCCCGTCAAAAGGTTCTACCGTTACGTCCTAGAGTCTGCTCCCAGCTTCGAGGCAAGCGGCAAGGTGAAAGCCTTGTCGGCGACCTTCAACGGAGTACCGCCCGAGACACTCCTCGTCGCCGGCATGGACGTCCCGCCTGCTTGGCTCGTCACCTCCAAGGTATCCGTCGACGATCTCGACAACCTTCGGCTCAAGGACATCAAGGCCAAGAGAAACACAGAGCACGTAGAAGCCATCTACGAGTTAAGAAACATTCTGATCGAAGGCCACTCCCGCGAATTCCCAGCCGCCTCACCCCCGCGCGGCGTGCAGCTCGTTCTAGCAACCGAGAAAGACCCCCACTTCGCCGACACCATCATCATGGCCAACCTCGGATACTTCCAGTTCAAGGCCAACCCGGGCATCTACAACATCCACCTCAAGGAGGGCCGTAGCTCCGACATCTTCACCCTCGACAGCGTCGGCGCCCAAGGCTGGTCCCCCGTCCCCGGCGACGAAACCACCGAGGTGGCCTTGCTCTCCTTCCAGGGCGCCACGCTCTACCCGCGCCTGATTCGCAAGCCAGGCATGGAGCGCGAAGACGTCCTCCAGGACTCCCCCAAGGAAGAAGAATCCTTCGTCTCCAAGGGTCTCAAGTTCGCCGAGGGCCTTTTCGGTACCAAAAAGCAACCCACCGAGAAATCCATCTCCGAAAAAGAGCAACACGCCGAAATCAACATCTTCTCCGTCGCCTCCGGCCACCTCTACGAGCGCATGCTCTCCATCATGATCCTCTCCGTCATGAAGCACACGACCCACACGGTCAAGTTCTGGTTCATCGAGCAATTCCTCTCTCCCTCGTTCAAATCCTTCCTCCCCCTTTTGAGTGCCGAATACGGGTTCCAGTACGAAATGGTCGCCTACAAATGGCCGCACTGGCTGCGCCACCAATCGGAAAAACAGCGCGAGATCTGGGGCTACAAAATATTATTCCTCGACGTGTTATTCCCCCTGTCCCTAGAAAAAGTCATCTTCGTCGACGCCGACCAGATCGTTCGCACAGACATGTACGACCTCGTCACGCTCGACCTCGAGGGCGCCCCCTACGGATTTACTCCGATGTGCGACTCCCGCACCGAAATGGAAGGTTTCCGGTTCTGGAAGACCGGGTACTGGGCTAATTACTTGCGAGGACAACCGTACCACATCTCAGCTTTGTACGTCGTCGATCTGCGTCGCTTCCGCGAGCTGGCGGCTGGCGATCGGCTGAGACAGCAATACCATACGCTGAGCGCGGACCCGAATTCGCTGAGCAATCTGGACCAGGATCTGCCGAATCATATGCAGTTCCAGATCCCCATCAAGAGCCTGCCGCAGGAGTGGCTGTGGTGCGAGACGTGGTGTAGTGATGAGACGCTGCAAAAGGCCAAGACGATTGATTTGTGTAATAATCCGCTGACGAAGGAGCCCAAGTTGGAGAGGGCGAGGAGGCAGGTGCCTGAGTGGACGGTTTATGATGAGGAGGTTGCGGGGTTGGCTAAGAGGGTGAAGGAACAGAAGGAACAGGAGGAGAAGGTTGAGGAAGTGGTGGAGGAACATGAGAAGACGGAGCATGTGATTGATGAGTTGTAGATATGTAAGAGCGTGGGTGGAATGGGTGAATGGGTGTTTGGGGCCATGAACGTAGTAGGATGAGAGTCTAGTGAATAAGATAGAATCTATATACACACCTACCTACCGCGTTCTTCCCGCACACCCAACATGAGTTCATGAACATGGAAAATTCCGCTATGTTGTCGACAAACAAGCCATTGGGGTCATTCCTAGCCCTGCTAGGTAATGTAAGGATGGATAAAAGAACATGAGGACCAGGCTACTAGTACATCAAGTAATGATTGTCATAAGAGTCTAATGATATGTATGTCTGCAATCCTCACATAACACGCCCGAAACACCAAAACACCGTACGCTACATGATATTTGTCTCTCCACTGAATCCCACCATCCGACACCTAAAACTCCCCCCACACACACATGCTCCAGGTATTACTCTGATCATCTTATCCATCACCCCCAACCTTCCCCAACATAAAATAAAGAAACAAAAACCACCCGCTCAATGAGAAATATACTGAAACACAGCACTAACATCCCTCTCCCCAACCTCCTGCCTCAACAAATGATCATGAATACCCTTTATCCCACCACTTCCCCCGTTCGGGTCTCCCTTCCCATTCTTCTCCTCACCACCCTCATAATGATTAACAAAGTGATTCCAAGTACTAGTATCACCATACAGCATCGCCTGCGCCTTAATATACTGCCTCCCATCCGGTTTGCACCTCTTACACTTGAACGTGTCATGGGTATCGCTCTTGGTCCCCGGTCTATAAGTAAACAGCTCGCGCAGCGAGTCAAGAGAAAAGTGTCTCTCCACATCCTCGGCGCTGTCGACGACGCATGATGATAGTGATTGCTTGTGGCTCTGCCTCTGGAAAATTTTCTCTTCAATGGTGCCCGTGGCGATGAAGCGGTAGACAAAACAGTCCTTCTTCTGGCCGTCACGCCACACGCGCGCCAGGGCTTGCTGATCGGCTGCTGGGTTCCAGTCCGGGTCGAAGAGGACGAGCCGGTTGGCCCCGATCAGGTTGAGGCCGCACCCGCCGGCTTTGGAAGAGAGCAAGAAGACGAACTCGTCACCTTCGGGGTCGTTAAACTTGTCGACCAGCTTCTGCCGCTTGTTGACGTTCATGGTGCCGTCTAGTCGGAGACAGCCGTATTGCCGGTTGCGGCAGAGACGCTCGAAAAGGTCCAGGGTTTGCGTGTAGTTGCTGATGAGCACGATCTTGTCGTTGGTGTCGGCGCGGATGCGGGCCAGCATGCGGTCGAGCACTTGCATCTTGCCGGAGTACCAGGGCTTGACGTCGCGGTCGCGGCCGCGCGCTTCCTTGGGTACATAGTCGTCTGGCCAGCAGTGCTCACAGCCGGGCAGATCGGCCGACAGGTCGAGCAGGTCTGGGTGGTTACAGAGCTTCTTGAGGATGTTGATGGCCTTGAGAGGTTGAGAGCCCTTGCCGCGCAGGAGAGCTTGGATGTCGGGAGAGGCAACAAAATAGTTGTACAAATCCAGCTGGAAGGGAGCGAGGTTGCAGAAAACCACGTGCTCGTACTTCACGGGGAGGTACTTGGACAGAATGTCGTTGGTACGACGAATGATGAACTTGTTGACGATGGCGAGAAGTTCAGCCAGGCACTCGTCACCACGCTTCCGGTCAGCTTCCGAGGCGTCAGCATCGCGGCCACGCAAGATGGGGATTTCGAAACGTTTGCGAAACTCGAGACGAGTACCGAGGAGATCTGGGTTAGCAAAGCTGATGAGAGCAAAGTACTCTGACAAGTCATTCTGAATGGGTGTACCAGACAGGATAACCCTCCTCGAGACATTCAAGCTGTTCAAGGCACTGAACGTCTGGCTGTCTCCGTTCTTCAGACGATGACCCTCGTCGCAAAGCATCAGACCAATGGGAGTCCCCTTAAGCTCCTCCACATTGAGCCTCAGCGTCTCGTACGAAACAATAATCACCGGCCTCGTCACAGACCGCCCACTGGCAATCGCCCACTGGCGCAGCTGTCTGGTCAATTCCTCCTTGGAAGCCTTCCCGTCAATGGCAAAAGGCGTGATCGCATCCGCGCCTAACCACTTGACCAACTCATTCGCCCAATTCCTGACCAAACTCGACGGACACGCCACAATCGCCTTTTGAATCGTCGACTTTCCAGCATCCGGTGACTGCTTCAACAGCGTCCACAGCAGCGTGATGCACTGCAGCGTCTTTCCCAAACCCATCTCGTCCGCCATGATACACCCATTCGCCTTCTCATCGATCATGCCCGTCACACACCGGTACATGAACCTGACACCCTCGATCTGATGCGGCCGCAGCACCTTGGCCAGCCTGGGATCGATCACCACCGGAACCCTGGGGTGTTCGCCCTCGACTTTCTTCTTGATGCCCAGAATCTCCGACAGACTCTTGTGCACCAGCGGCGCATCAACTTTCACCTCTGGTGTCTCCTCTTTCTTTTTCTCCTCAATCGCCTTCGGCGATACATCCTTGGGCTTATCATCCACCGTCGGATCATACAACACAATAGCGAACTCGTCGCAAGGGTCATGCAGCGGCTTAGCCACAAACACGGCGCCCTGCCTCAGGCCGAGCGTGGGCGGCGGCCGGTTCGGGTTGTACGCGGTCGTGTTCTTGTTGATCAGGGGAACCGAGAAGGCCTTGCGGAAGACCTGACTCTTGTCCTTGACTGCGAACACGGGGAACTTGTTGGCGTCGCGGTTGGCGAGGGCGAGCCGGTCGGCGTTGGTGTAAGGTTTGTCGGCGCCATCTTCGTCGTCTTCGCCACCAGCACCTTTATAATCGATCTTGCGGCGCTTGCGAGCGGGTCGGTCGACGGCTACGGTGCGGGTTGCGGAGCCGGGGCATTTGAAGGGTTTGGTGAGTTTGTCGAGCGATTGAGGCGTGGGGAACTTGCTGCGTTGGGTGAGAGCGAGACTGTTGGTGTTGTTGTTCTTGGAGGCGGGCTTGGGTGTCGAGACCATGGATGCTGTCCTATCGAGTTTCAATGGTGTTAGTATTCGTTTTGTGGTGAGTGTGGAACGCATGGGAGGAAGTGTCTGCTTACATCTTCGCTGTCGGCCTTGGTAGCTCCTAGGAACAACGCTTGACTTGGTTTCCAGGCTCGTCACTCAAGAGAACGGGACTTGACCGAAATGTCTGAAGGCAAATTAAAGGAAAAGGGAAGTAGCGAGCTTGAGGCAGGACGAGGGCGATTGGCGCCTGCTTAGTTAACAATGTTGACTAAACAGACGCGTAGAAAAGGTGGGGGCGAATCGCGCCTTCCTCACACGATGTCAGATGATCTTGCCAAGACATGCTGCCTTAACTGCAACTCCTAACCCCCTTTTACTTGGTCCCACTTTGGGCCAGTAACGGCTCCTGATTGGTCACTTGGTCTGACCACCAAGAAAGCCGTCCTCGTCTTCCTCGATGAAGGCATTCACAAAATCACTCCTCAATGACATATTGACATGGACGAACAAGCGTCAGAAGGTATTAAAGATGTATTATCAAGCCGTAAATACCCCAGAAAGTAACAATAGACAGAAGTTGCCGTGCATGCATGCTCGCTTGCTCAATGCCATGATATAACGTAAAGATGTGTGTTTGTGGTGTAGCAATGAATATTCCCGTCCTCATGAAGCCTCGCTTGTCAATCGTCGTCAAATCTCCTCAACGCCTTTTCCCCTCTTTCTCTTTCTTTCTATAACTTCGTGCCCAAGCTTCATGCCATTTCATTTAGACCTTGACCTCCCTTTCCAGCGACCCGTCCATGATCTCACCAGGTAAAGGTTCGCCTTCCCCATCACTGTCAACCACATCCTCACCCCTGGCCGCCCGTCTCGCGTTCTCCCTTTCACGGTAAATCTCCGACCTCCTCATCTCTGCCTCGCGCAGGCTTTCCACATACGTCCGGTACTTCACAATCTCGTTGAGGAGATGCTGGCTCTTCTTCTCCCAGTTGGTCATCGCCTTGGCCGCGTTCACCGACCGAGGCGAAAACGCCAACAGCATAGGACTCCTGAGCGAATTGTGTTTCTGAAAGTCCTCATCGAGGCTCCTGACGTACGCGATGAGATGCCCAAACTGTTCGCGCTCGGAAAGGGTGCTAGGCCGAAGGGACTGCGCTGGCGGTGTCCACTCGGCAATGTGAATCTTATCACCTGGTAGCTTCGAGGACGACGATGCACCGTTGGGACGAGGTAGTGAGCCGCCGCCGCTAAACGTGAGACCGAGGGCGCCGCTGCTGGCCGAGCTTCCCGGCCGACCAAAGTCGAAAGAAGAGCTTCTAACACCGCGCCGACTTTGTAGCGAGGCACGGCTGCCCGAGATGGCACTACCAGCAGCTAGCGCTGCCATTGCCGATGCCGCGTTTGCTGCGCTGCCAGGGCGCGAATGACCCTTGTGGTTGCTACTGACGCTGTTACTGGCAGGACGCCCGGTAATACCGCTGCCACCCGTATTGCCCAGGTCACCATTACTCTGGATGCCAGAAATCCGGGTCGTGTTGATGACCGCATCGCTCCAGCCGTATTCGATATTGGAGACACCGCCTATCATCGGATGGGTGCTCAACCGCGCGCTCCAATAGTTGGCTGTAGTCACAAACTCCCTGCAAATCTCGGCCGTTCCGACCTGGAACAAATGGAGCGCCCCGTTAGGTAACGACAAACACCAAACGTGCGGACGGGCTCGCGAATAGCCTGGTGGCGGCATAATAGTCGCCAGTGTCTGGCGCAGCGAAAACGTGCCCATGTTTACCGCACTGTCCTGCCAGTTGCCACCACCAACAACTCCTCCTTTTTGCGCGTTGCTGCGCATTCCCCTTTTCCTGCTCGTGGATTTGTTTGGAGAGAAGGAGAACAAGCTTAGCTGTCCCTTCTGGATGACTGCAAATACCTCGTTCCATGCGCGTTCCTTGGACCGTTTATCGGCGGTTTCCATGTGGTGCTTGTGCGTAACAATACCCTCCTTAACCCATGGTGGACCGGCTAATTCTAGAGACTCATCCTCCAGCAGCTCCGCGGTGTTGAAATCCTCCGTCTTGCTGATGGTGAGATCGAGTGTGTTGTCTTCGCGTATGATAGCCTGGCTAAGCGCATTTGCAAAACCAATCGATTGTTGAAAGTCGCCACGGATGGAGGAACCAAAAGAGTCCATGGACATGGTCGTATGGGTCCTACCCAGCGACGCTTTGCTCCATGTCGCCGAGGATTCGGTGGGGCTGAAAAGTGAGTTTCCGTCGTCAAAGCTAGTCCGGCTCGAATTAAAGCCGTTTCCAAAGCCTCTTGGCCTCGACCGACTCTTTGAGTTCCATCTGGATGAATTGGCCTTGGCCCCTTCGGTTATCCTACCCCGAGTGGAAGCCATGCCTTCCGATGGCGCTTTACTCAGTACACTAGGGCTCCGCTTGAGCACACCCATAACCGATAAGCTGCCTTGGGCGGTTGACGAGAGACTCGTCGTATTGGTGGCACCGCCAAATAACGGCAGGCTTTCGTCGCGGATGGATGAGTAGATGTCTTTGAGGACTGCTTCGACTTGCGATTCCCATCCCTTCAGGGGCCCATCAAAGGGCGCTCTTACGAGAGGCCCGCAACTGTCGGAGGTAGACGAATCTGTTACTGCACCAAAGCCGGACGTCGGCCGTGCTGGTGGCTTGAAAGAATATCTGAAACTGTTGTGTTTGTTATCTTCATTAGAGTTGCCACGGTTGCCCTCAACGCCAAGGCTTGCACCTTTGCCAGGTAGGATACTGGGACGTTCAAATGCTTCTGGAACCGAATCCTCGAGTGCCTGTCGGATCGTGGTCATGGTGTTCTTGATGAACTGGCTCTTGGTCATCTTTTGTTCAATATCAGCCATATGCAAGTCCGTATTGAGGAGCATGATGGAGTAGCAAATGGTGTGGATGATGTCTGTAACGGAATTTGTCAGCGGAAGAACAACGGTTGTCTTTCTTTCTTGGATTGTATTCGAGGCAGGACTTACCCATTGATTTGAACCCATGGTTAGGATTGCATTCGCACCACCGGTTGGAGAAAGCGACCAGAATCCGATCAACCTGCTGGGTTTCAGCCCTCAAAAGGAGGCGGTTGCAAAGCTGCCGCAAACTAGCACAAACGCTCATGTTCTCAAACTCATAGTTTTCCATGTACGCCCGGAGCGTGCGTTGCCGAACTGGACCCTCCTCACCCATCCATGCGGCCGCCTTGTCTCTGGCGATGAAGTCCTCATTACCTTCGTAAATCTTGAGCGCCTTCTGCCGGTCATCCTCGGTGGGGTCGCCGACCACGAATTGTTCGGGTTCGTCGAGTTCTGACTTGCTAGCCGGGTTGATCGATTCGGCGGTCTTCAAGCCACCTGTGCCCAATCCCAGCGAAATAGGCTCGGCGCTATCTACCCGTAAACTAGGCAAGCTGGGTTTCTTGCTGGCCTTGGTCGAGATCTTGGAGTTCTGACGAGCAGGGGCCTTCGAGTCCTCCTTTGGCTTGCCAAGACTAGGATAGCTCTTCGACTTGGACACCGTCGGCGAAGAGGACCGTCTCTTCTTTTCCTTTTCTCGACCCGGCTTCATGCTTACTTTACGGGACTCGGTGCCAGAAACTCTCTTCTTTTGTTCGGGGCTGTATTCGCTCTCGCTATCATCGCGCAAGAATGATCTCGGAGGTGAAGTCATGGTTCGATCAAACGCCGGCCTGCCGGGCAGCTCTATCCGAGGCTGTTTGGCCTCAACCGAGTCGCTAGAAGAGTTAGGGTCGACGGCGCGGATCACGGCTTTCGGACTTGGTTCGTAATCGGGAGAGAAGCCTCTCTGGTAACTATCCTTGTTCCGTCTGATCTCCGGAGAATCCTCCAAAGACCTGTTTGGCGCGCCCGAGTCGGAGGCTTCTGTCGACCGTAGAGGGGCATCGGCAGATGACTGAAAAATGGGACTATCTTGTAAGAACGGGTCCATAGCCCGCCTTAAGCTGCCACCCATGGGACTCGGCTCCGGCCTGGCCATCAGGGTGTTTGGCTTCATTCTGGCTGGCGACTTGTTCGGTATATGCGGGATCGGCGGTGGTTCCATTTCCGTGATGGACGTTTTCCGCCTCTTGAAAAAGGACGAAGTCTTCTTTTGCAGCGTATGTGTGACGGTCTGGGATGGCTCGCGAACAGGTGGGATCGTTGGCGACTTGAGCGAATCCGCCTTGATGCTCGAGCTGTCGTTGGCTGTCGATGACAGGTATGGGAACGTGGGCGGTGTTTGAGAGTTCGCCTTGGATGAGCTAAACATTCTGCGAAAAAAGCCAGATTTCTCCTTTGGTTGTTGTATGGCTTGTTGTATGGCGTTTATCGGGTTCTCAGGCATTGCATCCTTGGTCTTCTCGTAGCCGACATGGGGAGCAGGTGCTGCTTCCACGTCAAACGGAGGGATGGAAACCGGAGGAACGGAGGGAACAGCGCGTTGCGCATTGTATTTCACTTCGGACTGGCGCACCGTCGATGCGCTCTTTGAGGATCTCATGCTGCGTGGGCGATCGTTACTCGGGGCTTTGGGCGTTAGTTTGGAGCTGTTCTTTGTGTCGATGGGCGCAAGGACGGGCAATGACGGAACCGTATTCAGCCTTCGTGGGCCGGCGGGGACATGAGGGGTGGGCGCGGCATCGTAGTCGTGCTCGTTGCCGTTGTCAAAAAGGGATTTTGAAAACTCAATGTGCCACGGAGCCTGTTGACTGGTTGACGGCCTTGCGTCGCCGCAGTCGAAGCTGGATGATCTGCCAAAACCTCGGGCCCAGCGCTGACTGCCAAGGACCTGCGCATAGCCTGGGTCTATGCTGTTAGTGCTGCTGCCTTTGCTGCCCTTCCCGCCTCTCGAATGTATCGCCCGTGGTGTGCTACCCAGTTCGCGCATGCTGTTGATGCGACCCAGGCCTGATTGGTAGCCCGAACTGCTGTTACTCCGGCGCCTGCGGGACGACCTATCATCCGCCTCATAATCCGAGCTGTAAGTGTATGCATGTCCACGACCTGCCCTCGAGTTGAACGACATTGTGCGAGCGGTGTCGTTTCCGTACGAGTACATGTTGGAATCGTCGAAAGCGTTCCGTGATCCGCCGAACGAGGTGCCCATCTGCTCCAATGACAGCTTGTCGAGCCCCAGGAGCATATTTGTGACCAGGGAATCGCGGGTAAACTGGCGGGGCGAGAGCGAGAGATCGTGCGAGTCACGATGGGGCGGGCGCGCCGGTTCGGGGGAGGGTTCGGAGGGGTGTTCGGAGGAGCAATCGGACTCTTTGTCCGACATGTTCGTGTCGACGGGTCCAAGACTGTAAAGAAAGGACTCGATATCGGCGGCGTTCCGCACGAGGGCCCTCAGCGAGCGGGCACCAGAGGGAGATCTTGTGCGCTCGGGGGGCGTAGACGGGTGGAAGGGGTGCGTCGCGGGCGTGCTTCGCAGAAATGAGTCGTCGCTGCTGTGCCTCCTGTGATGGCCGGTTGGGTGATGGCTCGTGTGATGACCGAGGTGGGAAGGGGGAGTCGGAGTATCTCTGGTGATGATCCTCAGGTCTACCCTTGGGTCGGGGTACTGGTTGTGGTTCCGCCTGGCATTCGCAATTCGGCGCGCCGTGTCTGGAGAATGCATTGTGTACAGTAGCCGGAGCCACTCTGGTTCGAGGGAAAAAAGTAAAGAGGACAAGCAGTGACAGGCTACCGATGCCACCCACACTGGAGAGACTGGAACGCGCCCAAGCCAATCCCTGTTGCGCTCAATCAAACAAGCTGATTTGAGCGCGGCGGTGCAAGGGGCATCCACAGACGATCGATGTGGACGACAAAGGATTTCTAGACAGGAAGCGCTGCGCAGTATGTGGATGTACAAGTGTAAGTACCAGTGTTGTAAAGAGCATGCGTGTGTGGGTGAATGCCCTGTAATCTGTGTAATCTGTATTGATGTGGCACGGGAGGAACTGGCTGGGATGAAAGGAATGCTGTGTGACTGGTGGTCCCCAAGGACGGCACGGGAAGCAATGTCAGTGACGGTTGGTGTGTGTGTGGTTTTTGCCGAGTAGTATACCGCTAATTCTCATTCCCGTCGGATTTATCCTTCCCACATACGGTCTAGTAGATCGGGGAAAGGACCTGCATGCCGGAGCGCCAACGTAGCAGATGGGGCTGACAGACTTAGCGAGGCCACTCAAGACGACTGGCAAGTTCCAGCATGCGGGTGACTCGCAGCGGATGGCAGGACAGCACAACTCCTAAACTTGAGTAGTGGGACAGGGGGGGATAAATCCGACGGGAGTGAGAAAAAGCGGTAGTCGTAACGGCCCCGGAGTACCTCTACCAAGAAGTCACTCCCCTTCTTGTCTGTCAATTCCGTCTTCAGTTTGAGCAGCTGAGACTGATGGAGGGAATTGGAAGTGGGATTGGAACTTAAAAGGTCACGGCGTCAGTGCAGTGTCCTCGGCTGATCGTCCAATCCATGACACGTCAGCGTACCTGTACTGTGTGGAGGGAGTGGGGCATCGATAAACGACTGGCTCCTGCTTCTCCCGTCGCTGGAATAATGGAAACTTCAAATTTACAACTTCCAGGTTGTAGTTTCCCCAGACTCAAGACTGGAGTCTCCAAAGTCTTGTGCCTCCCATAAAAAAGCTGCACTGACGAGGAAAGCGACACCGAGATACAGGATACTGATCGCCGGACCACCAAAGATGGTAGATTGAGGCAACCGCACTCAGACTTAGGCTGATGGAGGCTGAGTAAAGTCTGAAACAAAAATGGTCTCGAGTGGAATGCAGTGCCTAGCGTTCGAACTCTTAGGCGGGAGTGCGGGGATTCGCTCCGCACGGTTCAGGTACCACTCATTCAGGTACCAGAACCCCAGACAGGGACTTCCTGGCCTTGAAGTCCACAAATGCTTTCATGATGCCTTCTAAAATTCACACATGACGGACACACCCAAGTCTGTCTCCAACCAATCTCCGCTGTGAGTCTCGTGTACTGCTTTAGCTGAAAGCCTGCTCACCTCAACACTTCAAAGGAATCTGGAGAAGATCGGATGGAAGTGGAAGCAGTGACATGCCCCCTCGATGCGGAGGCCCCTTTTTCTGGATACTGAATGCAAGTCACAATGCATGCCCGGCTTCTTCAACGCTCGTTGGCTCACACAAACTGCGCTTTCCCCTTTCGTGTTGCCAAATGAAACTTTGGTGCCCACTGCCCACCAGATTGATGCAGTCCGTGCACTTTCTTTCCGTTGTCTGGCTCTTGAGCACCTCTCTGCCCTGCACAAGACCAAAGCATTGAATGAGCACCTCTCTGAGCACCTCTTTTCGGCCTCCATCGATCCGGACCCTGAACTCGTTTGTCTCCGTCGTAACCTCAACTCCCCTGGTCCGATCTTCCTGATCCAGGCATGTATCTGAAACGTACCTTGACTTGAGGAGAGGATCGATATCAAGAGTGTTCCTCATTGTGTTTCGCCAAGCCTCAAGCGTTGCAACTTGGGGGTCCACCGAAATTTTACCTCCGGAGAGTTTTTGTCTCTGCCCCTGGAGCTATTTACCAAGGGGCCTTCTAAGGGGCTGCCATATCCGATAGACCCGTTTGCTATATCCGTTTGTTAGCTTTCCGAGACGCCAGATAGTCCAACAAGGCAATTGTTTTCTTGACGGGACGGGATGGACAGAGGAAAACTGTTGTACAACCATCCGGAGGCTAATCAAAAGAAAATGTCATGGCAATCTCTCGATGTGGTTCTAACTCCACAGTATCGACCAGACTTCACCCAAACCGTGACATGACAGTAACAAGCAGCTGGAGACAAACACGCGCCAACAGACACTAAAGTGTTGGTAAAAGGAACCGACTCCTTGGACCACCATACCCAGTCCATTGATGAGCCCTTGTTGTTGTTGGTGGCCTCCACCGTCGACACTCGACATGAGCACACCATCAAGAAGACGCTTGGCAGCCACGTTTTCAGTCCGTCCAGGGATAGTAAATCATGGCCATGTTAGTCCAAGCTATAGGTAATATTTATCTCCAGACGACTACACGACTTGCCAACCGGAATACCTACCACGCAATCTTCCATCAAAGCCACTTGACACATTCCGTCCACTTACAAGCCCAGAAACGCTTCCGACTATGTACATCACATGCCCGTTTAGGCCGTTATGATGACGATGAGAAATGAGAGCCGCAATTCAGCATGAATCGTATCTTCTGGTTCGTCAATGTCCCGAACATTCAGTTCCCTTTATAGATTTTCGTTTCTTTTTTTTTCCCTGTGCTGCTACGCAATCTACGCAGTAACCGTTGCTGGCTGCATGGAGCTACGCAGTATGCATCTCGGCATCTCAATGGCATGTCAAATTTCAAGTTGTTTTGTTTTGTATGGTGCAGCCCTTTGTGGGTTTGAATTTCCACACAAAAGTCCTATAGTCTACACAGTAAACACAAACATCTCAATGAAAACAGGCCCGACGTAGCCATGGCAAAAGGAGGCCATAGTAATGCTTGGAGAAGTTGCCACAAGGAACTGCGAATGGTAACAAACACCTTTCAAGGGTGGATCGCAATGTCACTTCACGACGCAATGCAGTTAGAGATGCATACATGTCAATTTAACGTACAGTACTCTATGTACAATCTAGTGCTGGTTTGTTTATTAGCTTGGTACCTACGTACTCCTGGTATATTGGACGAGATCTCTTCCGAAGTGTCCTAAACCTTATAAGGACTAAATGAAAGGCATTAAGAAGATTTAATACGGTGTATTTTACTTTAGAAAAAGCATATTCACAGTATGAAAATGGCTAGGTACGAATCCGAAAGGCATTAACAAGATCCAATACAGTGTAATCTATTTTGGAAAAGGTCTATTCACAGTATGAAAACGCCTAGGGAAGTTAACCCGAGGTCTCGAGCTAACAAACAAACCAGTATTGGACTGTACATTGTGGCTTCATATTTGACAATATGTAAAAGATTTTGAGAAACAGAGAGTAAAAGAAAATATTGGATGGCTTTCAGATTGGCTCCGGAGTCAGACCAAGAAGTGAAGATTGGGAATAAAAATAATAGTTTGGTAAGTAGGTACCGTTTGGTAGTAAGGCAGGTGGGTAACGACTGCTACAGGACAGGTGGAAAGAACGAGACCCGTCAATTGTCGAAAAAAGGGAGGCATGGGTTTCAAAGCCACAAGAAACCCACAAGAGCAATGGAGGGAGGCATTGTAGCAATTGAAAAAAGTAGACAGAGAATGTCATAGGGCTAAGGCCCGGGCTGTAGCGCTCTAGTCATTGACCTAAGCTGTTATAAGGCACCGTAGCTATATTTATATAGCCCCTATTAAAACCTTGTATCTCTGGTAAAGCTGCCTCTTAGATAGAACTTTTCTTCTTTATAGAACCTTAATTAAACTATATAACTAATACTTATATTAATTATATTATCCCCATTATATTAAGTTCTATTTTAATAGACCTAATAGAATAAGATAAATAGTTGCTACAATAGTAGTAGTAAGGCCTACCCACCTAAATAGCCGTAATTAGAATTCCTATAGAGTTTTCCGCCGCTATAGCCGCCGCAGCCGTAGAATAAAAAAAAAGTACGAAGAGAGAAGCCGTATACTTCGTATAAGAGAAGGAAGATTTCGCTAGGACGCTATTTACTAGCGACGTATTTGCTTAAATAATAAGAATAGCGCTTAATATATGACTTATTATTTAAAATTAATAGAACTCCTTCAACGTTACTATACTTACTATGATAACTATTATTACCCCGAGCGCTGTAATCGGTATTATATAAGAAGCCGTTCCTTATTATAATTCTAAGCGTAAAACTATCCGTTAATTAAAGTAGGACGGAACCCATTTTATGTTCGGTTTCTATATTACTTAATTACGCTTTATATATAAAAAGAAGAAGTTAGTGAGAGTTATTATTAATAATAAATCGGGCTAACTAATATTATTAGACGCCTTTCTAATTAATAAAATAATTAAAGTAAAAGCCTTCTAACGCTATAGTAGTATTAGTAAAGCTTATAAACCCGAATATTTTTTTTAACTACTTCGAATTAATCTTCGGTAATAAAAACGAACAAAGATTAGCCTTAACCCGCTTATATATTATATAATAGAGAGAAAATTAATCCTTATCAGATTGTCTCTTTGCGTTTAAAGAGAACTTTACGAAAATTAGAGGCCTTACTTAGGAAAATAATTCTAAGCTAACTTAATTAGAAATTTCTATATTTAATACTCTTTACGATTAATTAATTTTAATTTATATACTTGAAATTTACGACCTCTATATTAAATAATTAAAAGATATTACGTAGAAATTTAAGGCTAGTAAAGCCTTCTATAATATTAGGGGTAATTAAAAAAAGATATAATAATTATTATTAGAATTCCCTTTCCCGGCGCGACCCTACCCCTACCCTTAAATATTTTAAAAGTATAAACGGTAATATTACAATAGGCTATATTAAAATAAAGGGTAATTCTAGTAATAAAGATATTAAGCGTATTAAATAGGTTTCTTAGAACGGAAGAAATAAGCGTTATACATTAAATTTCTATTTCTGTTGCGGAGTTGATAGGTATATAATTGGTAATTATATATATTAGCCGGTATAATATCCCCTTATTAGTATTAAATTTATAAAGATTAAGCTTAAAGTAGAACCTATATTAAAAAATAATAATAAGTATTCTTCTTTTAAAGAGTCGGAAAAAGAGTAGCTCCTTTATAAAATCGAATAAAAGAGTATTTTAAAGTACTAAGTAAGGAAGCGGGAATTAAAAGTTTTCTAGGACTTATAGAAATAAATATTATTAAGATATCTATTGTTATTAATAATAAAGATCGTTTCTATACCTTCGTCGATAAAGGTTACTAGTATTATACTATAATTAGTAAAAGTATCATTAAAAAGTTAAAAATTCCTATTATACCCATACCTAAGAGATAGGTACGAGGAACTTTGATAGAAATAGAAGGGGCGGAAATTAAGGGGATTATTTATTTTAAGGTAGATATTTATAAGTATAAATCCATTATTTATATTTACGTAGTCCTTAAGCTAAAATTCCCTATTATTTTAGGGAAACTATAGTTAATTATTATAAAAACCTACTCTATCCTTTATAAATATAAATTTTAATACGGAATAGCTAGTTATTAAATCCTATACTTAGGATATTCCCTAAAGAATTTCTCCCTAAAAGCTAAGGAATTTAAAGAAGTAGTATACTATTTGGCAACTATATTCGTAACTATAGTGTTATGAGATATTCTAGGCAGGTGCCTGAATGCCCCACTCTGTCTTGGCACACGCTCTGTTGAGCTTGGGACTGCTCTATCGAGTAGGATATATTATATAAGAGTACTTTCCCTATCAACCTCTGTCAAAATTAATTAAATTATTAATTTATATTATATTAACCTAACGTCTATCTTACTTATACTCTATAAAGTCGTATACGAAGTCCCAGGTTAAGGCTCTCGACAATACTTATCTTCAATTTCTTTTAATAAGACTATCGTTAACTGTTACGTACTATTACTCCATCTAATAACCAATTACTCACTTTATTATTCTATATTAGTATTACTTATCAAGTATCGCTTCGCGTAATAAGTAGTACCTATAGTTCAGTTTTAAACCGACCTTATTATTCTTTATATCTTTTTTCGTTTTTTTCCTTTCGTAAAGGGGGAAATTCTATCTTTGTTTCTTTAATTTTAATAACAATTTATTAGATTTATTACTATTTATTTAATTTACCCTTTTAGACTAAGTATTTGCCTATCCTATTCAATTTTAAGCCCCATTTCTTTATAATTCTTTTATTATTCCTTTAAATTTTAAAGTTAAATTTTACGATATTAAACGGTAATATTATTCCCTAGACGGCTTTTAACTTTTAGGACGGTAATTTAATATATAAAGTATATTAGATTTTTAAATTTATAATATTCTAATCCTAACTTTACTACGAAGAACGTCTTACCCCTCCGGCCGCCGAACTTCTTATTAAAGCTGCTAAATTTCGCTTTAATACGGAAACCGGCCAAATCGAAATTTAAAAAGATTAAATTAACGAGATTAATAATAATATTTATAATAAAAGCTAAATCGTCGATATTAATATAATTAATAAAGAAATTTAATAGATTCTATATAAATATTATAATTTTATTGCTAAATACTCTTTTAAAGGACGATAAATTTAACCTTTTCTTAAACAAAGAAACGGCGCTTCTATTTAATTTAAGAAAAAGTATTAATAATAATATATAACTAAACTAAAAGTTAATAATAATAAAACTACTTAATACAAAATCAATAATATTATTATTAAAATAGCTGCTAATATACTAATTCCCCCCAATACTAATGGCTCCGTCGCTTCTAATTCTTAATTTTCGTTTAATAATTTTTCTAATACTATTAGAATAGTCGACCCGTTGCCTTTTATAAATCCTACTTAAATTCTTATTCTTCCTTCTTTATTACTAATTCTAATAGAATAGTTTTCTTACTCCAATTAATCCCTTCGTCCGCTTTCGCCTACCGAATCTATTATCTCCTATATTAATTTAATTATTAAAATTACTACTAATTTTACTTAATAGCTTATAATTAATCCTACTACTAAATATTTCGCTAATATAATATAAATGGAAGCTTTAATTAAATTTGTCTAAAAATAGTAATAGGAACGAACTTTTATACAATTAGAACCGACTATAACTAATAAATTCCCGATTTATTTCGTTAATCTGGTCTAAAATATTTTATATTTTGTTTAAAACAATATAAAGTTTAATTTTAATTTAGCCGCTCCGGCCGCCGCTCGGCGTAATCCTATTTAATAAACCAATAATTCTATTATTAATCGGCCTTAATATACTATAAGCTTTATTAGTATTACTAATAATACTACTATAATTAACGCTAAGGATCTATATAATATTATTAACCTTATTAATTATATAAAAAACCTTCGGATTAATTATATTAACCGTTTACCCCTATTTAATAACATTCATTAATAGCCCGTTTATAATTACTATAATATATTACTTCTATTAACTGGCCGTTATATTTTTATTTATACTATAAAAATAATTTTTCAAGAATTTACTAAACAAAAAAGAGCCCCCGCTAATAAAGAAGAAATTAAATATTAATTCCGTTAAACGGAATAGCGAGCCTGTTTAATTAAATAAGTCCACTAAATTTATTAAATTTAAAAATAAAGTATACTTCTTTCCGTTTAACCAATTCTTATTTAAATTCGCCCTGTACAAACTCTTCCTATTTAAATTCCCTTATTATATTCAACTTTTCACTAGGGTAATTAACTTATAAATACTCTGAAATTTTCCGTACGCTTCGCAAACGCTTCTTCCAATATTTCCTATTAATTAGCTAAAACTAATAGCGGCAACATTATATCGGACAATATTACCCTCTATAAAA